AGTGAGCGCTGTGAGCGCACTGGTCATCCCTATATAGGATCCGAACCCACGGCGGGAACGCTGCTGCGCTCCCAGCGCCACACCCTCCGGAGTGCGCCACGGACTCGGCCCTTAGTATAAATTTTGATGGTATCATGAATTATATAATTTGAAACCAAGTCATGGTACCTGAACATTCTCAGGTCTTTGCCATTAGCTGATTCCTAGAGAGCATTGTAAGATTTCTGTTTGATGACAGCAATTAAGTTAATTAGTCCTCTAGATTCTAAAGGCTTGTGGATATATACCCAATCGGAAGCTTTATTGTTCTAGGAATGTCAAGACCTTTTTGATGTTAATTGAACTTTCCATCTGTCCTTTTTATTCAGTGAAACTCTGAGAAGTGGATTTGATGTTGTTCAAGGACACCCTCTTTTGCACTTGGCTTTAAGATGAAGTTGGCTGTGTTCAATATCTCCTTTAACTTGTCTGCAGTCCCTCAAATGAGTACTGTCCCACCTTTATTTTCATGACCATTTATCTCTTTTTGTGGTTCCCACCATTCTAACTACTTTTCTGTCTCTAATAATATTTTTTGTAGGCGATTGATGTTGGTGCATTTGAGAGCACCAGTGGTTTACTTTGGAAGAGAAAAAAAGGCAATATAATTCCATCTTAAATGACTGGGACTTTGACAGATGTGGCCAATGTCACAGATCTTTTGTGATGCTCTAAATTTTGTAATATAAAACATCAGATTGTTTGCAAATCTCTGTTTAGAACCAATTGAAATCTTCAGAGCATTTGTCCTATATTTTCTTTTTTTTTGGCCTATGATCATCAGCAAATTTTGTCCTGTATCTTATATGGGAGGAAATTTTTTCAGTCTTAGTACCTTGGTTAATGATGGTTATACCTCTTTTAGAAGGAGAAAGCCTGTAAGGGAAAAATAACAGTGTTGTCAGGCAGTCCTGGGCTCAAATCCCAGCTCCAGCCCACCTAATAGCTGCACAGCTCGGGCAAGGTACATGTGAACATGGATGTCCTCACAAGTAGAAGGGGGTTAACACCTGCCTTCCAGGACAGCCATGACTACTAGAGAAGGATATGATCCTTTGGGTTTGTATCACTCAGTCAGTAGCTGCTTTTGTTTATCCAGTATTTCCCAAGTAGTGAGTAGTTCTTAGACTAATTTTCCAGATAACTGAAGCTGGCTCATCCTTTCAAAAAAATACTAAAACTAAGTTTTCATCATTTTGAAGGAAATATTTCATATTTTCTTAAAATTGAATTGAACATAACTGAGCCCCTCGCCATGACTAAGCATCATTGTTAGGAACCTGGGTTCCTGTTGGTGCTGTAACCAGTGCCTCCTGCCCTCCGCCATGGGCAGTGGATGTGCGGCTCTCAGATCCAATACTGAATGTCCCAGATGGCCAAACGCTTTTGAGTCCTCATGTCCTAATTGTCCTTCCATGAGCAGTGACTGCCATCTGGTTAGTGCGCCTCCCTTTGCCTCCACCTAACTTTAGCTTCTAGTCCCCAGCAGGCCAAACTGCACGTGTGAGCAGTGTTGTCCTGAGGATAGAGTGGAGGGGCACCCATTGCTGTTGCTCAGTCTTTTGGCTTCTGGTTCTCACTTATCTTCTAGATAGCTGAGTCTGGCCAGCAGATGATTTCTCTCTGATTCTCTGATTCTTGGTGTCCTGCAATTCAGTTCTGACACTACCCAAAGTTAGTGTCAAACTCCTCAGGATTAAGGGTTTGCTGCCACAGACTACCCTGACTTCAGATGCCAGTTGCAAGTCCCTAGTCACCAGGCTACCTGCACTTCTGTCTGACTTGGCTACCAGTTCAGGGGTTCCCACGACCCTGTGCCTGAAAGTTTGATAATTTGTTAGAATAACTCATAGAACTTAGGAAAATGCTATACTTACTATTTCAGTTTATTATAAATGAGCAGCCAGATGATTAGATACTTAGGGCAAGGTCCGAATGGGTCCACAAATGCAGGAGCCTCTGTCTCCATGAAGTTGGGGTGCCCCACCCTCTGAGCATGTGTATGTGTTCACCAATTCAGAAGCTCTCTGAATGAACCCTGTTCTTTAGGGCATCTTATGGAGGTCTCCTTAAATAGGCATGACATATTAAATCACTGGCCATTGGTTTTTGTACTCAATGTCCAGACCCTCTCCGCTACCTGTAGGTCAAGGTGATCAGGGTTGGGGCCAAAAGTTCTAACCCTCATCATCAGTTTGGTCTTTCTGGCAACCAGTTCCCATCCTGAAACTATCTAGCAACTCTCCCCACCCCTGGAGTCATCTCATTTAGCATACAAAAGACACTCTTATTACTCAGGAAATTCCAAGGGTTTTGGGGTCTCTGTGCCAGGAATGTGGACAAAAACCAAATATTTATTTTTTTATCATACCACACTTCTGTAATACTGAAACACTTTCATGCAGCACTAGCAGACGGTAAACATAGCTTAAACATTTGTACATTATGGGATTCCTATTTAATATATTAATCCTGTCGTCACTTATATGATTCACTCTGAATAAACCAAAATATGGTGTACATTTTCAGCATGTGTGTCAGTTATAAACAACTTCAGAAAAAAATGTGACTTTCTGGTGCAAAGTAATTTTACTCTGTTTTTTACTTGGGGAAATGATGGAGTCTAAGTTTGTCAGCAGGGTTGCCCACGTAATTCATCCTCTGAAGGTCAGAATTATTTTACCCACTGATGCATGTTCTTGGACCATTTTTTTTTTTCTTTCCTTGGATAAGTTTTTATTGAAAAACCACAGCACTATGTGTAAAAGGGTGTAGTGGGTGGCTGCCAGGAGGAAGCGTCCAAGCAGACTCCTTTTGGGTGTTTATTCATGGGAAGAGCCTCCAGCACAGCTGCAGCCTGCTGTGTCCTTGGTGCCCCTCTTCACAGCCTGTGCTTGGTCGTTGCAGGGCCCCGTGAAGCACGTGTACAGAGTCCTGCAGTGCCAGGAGGAAGAGCTCACCCAGATGGTCTCCACTATGTCTGATGGCTGGAAATTTGAACAGGTATATTTCTAAAAGAGTAGCCACCCTGGTGTCTCAGCCTAGGGGTCCACACGTCTTCAGACAGTCACTATCTGTAGCCAGTTAATGACCCTGGGAGATCGGTAGGGCCAGGTATAATCCTGTTCCAGAATGTGGGAAAAGAGCCGCTCAGTGTGCATTATTCGCTCAGTAGTACACAGTGAGCTGGGGAGGGGTGGGAAGAATACCCTGCCTGTGCCTTCATGTCCAGTTTCAGCTTGCCGTGCCCAGAGGGAGCCAGCAAACTCGTTTAGGCTTGAAAGTGCCTCCCTTTGGTTTTTCTTCCCTCAGAGGGATTCCTTTCAAAATTGCTCTGTTGACACTTTCTAGAGTGAATCCCTAAAGAAGTCAATTCAACAACAAGCCTTCCTTTCCTTCTCCAGGGTCAGAACTTGATAGTTCTGAATATATCTAGTCCCTCATAAAAAGCTCGGTGAAGGGCACACCATGAAACGACCAGGCATAAGACATGTGGCATGGCTGTTTGTCATCCTTCTCTCTGCTTTGGTTCTTTCAGCTTTGTGTTTATGACGGAGATGGTAACACAAAGCTGCCGAGAGTCAGAGTTCTACTGTCCTCTTCCATTAGATGGCAGAATTGTTCAATTCTTCCCTTGCCTTCAAAACACAGGAAGGCTGAGAGTGAATAGAATAGATATGATTTTCTATGGCTCATGCCTATTTTTTTTTCTTTTTCTAAGATAAATCTTGTAGAAATGCCTGTTTTTATATAGAGTTTAAGAGGCCAACTGAACTGTCACCATAAGCTTACCCTAAAATAAAAGTTACAGTTTGTGTTAACAGTATTATGTTATAAATCAGATGCTGTCTGTCTGCAGAGCCGACTCAGGATCATCCCTCACCCTTATCTCCCACTACAGAATCAGTTCCACCTGTGTTGGGTGGCCTAGTTCTTGTTCAGGTGTTGGCTGCAAAATATTGCTGAGAGTTACTTGTCCTCAACTCTAGGACTATTTTCCCTGATACAGAGTCTTTTTTTTTTTTTCTTTTGCGGCTGGCCGGTGTGGGGATCTGAACCCTTAACCTTGATGTTATAACACCATACTCTAACCAGCTGAGCCTCCTGGCCAGCCCTGATACAAAGTCTTAAGCAAAGGATGTTATTTTCTTTGAAAAAAAAAAAAAAGTATTTTTTTTTTTTTTTATACTAATGAATAATTTCTTAAGTTCCTTTCCCATCTTGTTACTGTCCCATGGGAGGATGACGCATGCTCTCCTTGCCCCCGTTACTGGATAAGGAAGTTCGGCACAGGGCAGCTGGGGCGGCCCACCTCAGCCATCCGCATGTTAGTCTTGGTCTCCTGACATGAGGCCTTGCATGCTTGCCAGGATGGCTCAGCTTTTCTCTCTGCACATGTACTTCCTATTTAGAATTAAATGCTGAGTTGAGTTCTCCAAAAGGGTGAAACATACCAGCAGCTTTTGGTTGATATTCAGGAATTCACTTGGTGCTTTCCAGATCCTTCTGAGTGCCCGTCTCCCATCTAAGATTTCTGCTTAAAGATAAGCCAGCTCTGTGTTTTGGCTGAAGCAAGTGTTCATTTTCATTCGTGGAAACATTCTGTTTCACCTCCGTGTTTGAGAGAGGCAGAGTGATCATGTTAATCCTGCTGCTGCCTCTGGGGTGATTTCCAGTGCTTGGGTAGGGGAGGCAGTGGTAGAGCTCATGCTTTCCTTCTTGGGGAAGCCTCTTTGGTGATGCCCTGATGAAAAACTTGAGATCTACTTATCCCCTGGGGCCTTGATAGTCCCAGAGAATCCTTCATCCTTTGAGAAGTAAAACTGCAAAATTCGGTCAGGAGGAGCATGTGATTCATGTAGCACGCTAGTATTTTAAGATCATTGTTTGTATGTTCACCATATTCTTGTTTTACCAGCTAATCAGCATCGGATCTTCCTATAACTATGGAAATGAGGATCAGGCAGAATTCCTCTGTGTTGTCTCCAGAGAACTAAATAATTCTACCAATGGCATTGTCATAGAGCCGAGTGAAAAGGCGAAGGTAAGACATCGCTTCACAGAGTATGTCTCTGGCTCATTTGTTCCGAGCCCCTCTGTGGGCTTTCTCTGAACTGTAGCTCCTCGTTTCTTCCCTCTCCTCTGTTTTTTTTTTTTTTTGCTTTGTCTAGTTTGTTTTTTTGGCAGCTGGCCGGTCCAGGGATCCAAACCCATGTCCTTGGTGTTACCAGCACCACGCTCTCCCGAGTGAGCTAACTGGCCATCCCCTTCTTCCCTCTCCTTCCAAAGCCAGTTTTGCATTTCCTCTTCATTTTGGTTTTTTGATTGTTGTAATTTAAATCAGGATTCATGGGTGGTGACAGGGGTTTTTAGTTAGTAGATGTGAACCTAAAAAGGGTAGACTTTCCGGGGCCAGCCCGGTGGCGCACTGGATAGTGCGCCGCTTGGGAAGCGTGGCGGCGCTCCCGCCCGAGGGTTCGGATCCGACATACAGACTGGTTCCCGCTCACTGGCTGAGCGAGGCGCGGGTTCCGCTCATTGGCTGAGCGAGGCGCGGGAGCAACACCGAGGGTTGCGATCCCATTGCCGGTCCCAGTCCGGTACGGGGGTGACACTGAGGGTTGCGATCCGTTGCCGGACACGGAAAAAGACAAAAAAAAAAAAAGGGTAGACTTTCTCCAACCTCTGTCAAATCCATGAAAAGAAAAGCTTATTGCCCCTGATTACAAGATGAGACTTCTGAACTCAGAATTGGACAGTATTTTGCCTTTGTTCTTTGTAACTGTTCTTTTTTCACTGCCTCAAGAGAAACAGAATTTTCTTATCTTTGTGATTTTTCCCCCCATAAGTTCCTGAAAAATTGTTCCACGCTGTTATTCTCTTTTTCCTCCACTGTTGCCCTCTGACACACACGTGCACACACGCACACATGCTCTTCTCTCTTTTTTTTTTTTTTTTGATGGTTGGCCAGAGATCTGAACCCTTGACCTTGGTGTTTTAACACTGTGTTCTAACCAACTGAGCTAACTGGCCAGCCTTGCTCAGACACTTCTAAATCACTAGTATGCAGTAAACTTAATCCGATTCCTTTAGCATGGGAAAACTTTGGTCCCACAGCACATAAACTTGAGGCCCCACTGGGTTCAACCAGAAAGGCTTTTGCAAACAAAGTGTTTCAGGTGAGGCTGAGGCTCCACGCCTGCCTGCCTTCCTAGGATGATGAGGATTGTTGTGCTGCTCCCTGGGGGCCAGTGGAGAGCAGCTGTGGTCTCTTTCTTTCCCCTCAGCAGTCTGCTCAGCAGCCTCAGGCTTCTCCCCCATCTTCCACTTTCAGATTCTTCAGGAGAGAGGATCTCGGATGTAAACCAAGAATCTGAAACTCCAGAGTTGTGAACGTTGAGAGCAGTCCAGCAGAGCGCCTCTGTGAAGTTAAGTCTTGCTCCTGTACAGTAACCGAGCTACTGCAAAGCAAAGCTGAGCTTGGCCCCCAGTGGAGAGGTGTTCTGGTCAAAACCAAAGGAACCCCCACCCCACCCACAGGACTCCGAAGACAGAGGCAGCTTCTGGCTGCAGAATTACCTTTTTCAGAAACCTGCTTTTGTTTTCTTAGCCAGTGTTACAACAGATCTTTACAACAGCAGCTGGGCTGGGTTCCCAACGGAGCCTTTTGGGGATCTGGGGAAGAGGGAGGAAGGCCTAGCTCCTTGGAAATGGTCTGTACATCAAGCAAGCTGGAGCAAAGGAAAGAGGATTGTCCCCAAGCTGGGCCATGGTTTCACCCCTAGTGTGCCACAATGGATGTTAGCAGCAGCTTTGGAACACTTTCCCTCCTCTGTGCACCCTCAAAACCATGCAGCAGAGGCAGACAGTTCTAGCTTCAGTTTGTCCAGTTGAGGTTTTGGATGAAGGACAGAATTGCCAGAGGACCCTATATCTCTATGAACAGAGCCTCTTTGAAGAAAGGGAGGACGGGGTATCCTTCATTGTGGTTGGAGGGTGGAGATCACTGCTCCTGATTCGGGGCACTCAGCTGCTACCACGTGCAGCTTTGCCTCAGTTGTCTCCAGCAGCCAGGACCCTCTTGAAAGCTGGCTTTCTCCCCGAGAGGAGGCTCAAGGCAGGCAGAGCTGAAACAGACAGACGAACAAAGGGGGAGCTTTAGGTGGTGAGATAACTGCTTCTGCAGTCTTTTCCTTTCTTTTTTTCGCATCTGGCCAGTAAGGGGATCTGAACCCTTGACCTTGGGGTTATCAGTACCATGCTCTGCTGAGCAAGGTAACTGGCCAACCCTGCAGCCGTTTCTTAACCCCCATTAACTCTCTCTCCCTTCCCTGGCTTTCTAAACTGGACCAAAGATAAAGGGATTTGTAGACCCTCTGGTTTGGGGTGGGGAAGGCTGTTTCTTTGAAAGTTGCCAAACGTGTTATGTGTTGTATCTAAAAGAGTTATTTCTGTGATTGTCTTTTGGAAATGCCTTGACTGAGTGTGCAATGTTCGTGTCTCTTCTTGGTTTCTCAGCTTGGCACACCTGCCCCCCTGCGGCGTCTGACTCCACACCATCCCCACTAGCATGTGTGTGTATGCTGGGCAGTCAGGACCCCCTGCGTCTCTGACGCCCCCCTCACCTTCTTTCCACAAGTGCCATGTTGCGAGGTTCAAATGCCTGTTTGATAGGCTGTGGCGGAGCCCTCCTCTGGGCCATGGCCACAGAGCCTGTGTGTGCACTTTCCCTCTGGGCCTCTGAGTCGGTGCGCAGTCACGGAATGCAGAGGGGCCAGAGAATCCCTATTTTTCCCTAGACAACTTTTAATGGTGTGGCAAATGGCACAGAGAAGGGACAGGGGCTTCAGCCAGGCACTCCCGGGACCTCCAGAGCCGAGGTTGTCTATGCCCCACAGCTAAACTGCCTCCTAGGTGGGTCTAGGGTAGCAATTTCTGGAAATGACTGTAGACTGTGCCAAATGTCTTTTGAGCTTGTGACCTGACGGTGCCCAGGATGGCTGTTCTCCAGGATTCTCACTTTTTTCTTTATTTCTCTGTATCTGTAGAGTAGAATAGAAATGTGCATACAGGGTTTCTGCTGAAACATATATATCTACACAGCAGTGTAAGTATACACGTGGCACCTCAAAAGTCTGGCCTGTGCCCACTACTCTTACAGCTGTCAGTGTTAGATGAGCTTCTACCTACAGTAAAAGCAGTCACCCCTTCAGAAGGGTCACAGGCATCCATTCTGTCATATCTTTCAGGAAAAAAAAAGATTTGGGTGTAGTCAAGGAAAAGTAGAGATAGCAGGAAGAGCTGCTCTGACTAGGACAAAGGACTTTGGAAGAGGTGCTCTTAGGCCAGGTCAAATAAGTAACGTCAGCCTGACTAGGAGGTAAAGCAGCTTAATTTGGGGCCTTGTGCCCAGTCATATTTGTTTTGGCCCCTCATCCCTCTGCTTTCCTGGGGCATTCCTGAGAGTCAGCACCGGCCAGGGCTGGGGGCCAGGGCAGATGCCTCTGGTCCTAACCCCAGCTCTGTCACCACGTTCAGCAGGAAGGAGCAAGAAGAGCTGGAGGGTGGACACTGGGCAAGTACCTCATGGGTGCACTGTTACCTACATTTATCTTCAGGGTCCCACAGTTGATCCTGTAAAAAGACTGCCATTGAGCCCCAAGCCAAGTGCTCTGGGGAACAGACATAAATAATATTTCTGGTCTCTTAGAGGGCTGATGTTCACCAAGTTTCCCTCCTTGCTGCAACCCAGTGACAGTTTAATTGTTCCGGGGCTCCAGGAATCTGTGGATGACTCCTTAAGATTTCTGGGCAAGTGTTTTACCCAAACCCTTTATGAACCCAGTTTGTGTTCTTGCTTAAAAGCCTTCTTCCCCCCGGGAGAGTCTGGTCACTTCAGAGAGGGGTCTGCCTATCAGTTTGGGGGCGTCACATGACCAGTGACCCACACTCTCCACCACCTAATACTGCCAATTGGGGAGTGTCTTTCTGCCTTTTTCTTTTGTCTTTTTGGCGGCTAGTCGGTATGGGGATCCAAACCTGTGACCTTGGTGTCAGCACCGCTGCTCTAACTAAGAGAGCTAAGCGGCCTGCCCCGGGAGCACCCCTGAGTGATGACGAAGCAACACCACTTCTGTCTTCTAAGAATCTGTGCTTTTTCCTTGACGATGAGGGGGGACCCAGCCTCCTCCTACGTGACTTCATTTCTGCTCAGTCGTCACTGCTTCCAGGGGTGTCAGTGAGGTGCAGGGAGGAAGCCGTAGAGATGCTGAGGGACACCCACACCCTCCAGCATGGCCTCCGTGCAGACCTTAGGGACCATGCCTGTCAATCATGGGTGCCCTTTGTTACCGTTTGTGTGTTTGAATAGAGTCAGATTCTGTGACATTTTTGTCAATAAAGATACAAAACAAATTTCTGACTCTTGAGACTGGTGGATGTTTTCCATCCCTGCGAGCTCCCTGGTTCCCGCGGTCACTTACTGCTGGTGATCCTCCAGCCGGATTCGGGAGATGGGTCACTGCACCTTTCCTAGCTTGGCATCTTACAAAAGCCTCAATTCTCCTGCTGCCGAAACTGCCTGAGCCGGTGTTGGGCCTTTTCCCTCCTCCCCCCTTTCATTTTGCTGAATCTGAAAAGCCCCAGAGAGTGCTGCGAAACAGAAGGCAGAGACAGATGGGCTGCCACCAAGAGCTGGAAGGAGACAAGGGAAGAGTGTGACATGGCTTTTGGGGTGGGGGGGGACCTTACCAGAAGAGAATATGTGACTAGGTGCCCATTTTCTCTGCAAGGAAGAGGATGGGTAAGAAATGTTTGGTGACAAGTAACCAATAAATAAGTATTCATCACTTAAGCATAAGGCAGGGGGTGGGATTCTCCAAAGGTGTTAGATTGTCCCTTCCTGGATGGTACTTACACTAACATGATGAGGAGGTTTTTTTGTTGCCTGGCTGGTACAGGGATCCGAACCCTTGACCTTGGTATTATATAACACACGCTCTAACCAACTGAGCAAAATGGCCAGCCCCATCCAAGATTAGTGAACAGGGTATGCAGGTGTATCAGGGTCCAACAGGAGACAGGCCAGGGTGGTGGTTCACTAGGTAGTGGAGAAAGGTCAAGGGGGGGACACTGAGGCATCACAGATGGAGGGATCACACAGGGTGCAGCTTTTCCTCCTAGGACAGAGGAGCGATGAGAAGAGGCTGGGGTTATTATGGTGTAGACTGGGGGGAGGGCCCGTGGAGAAGGAGAGGCTGGCCCGTTGTTGCTGCTGTCTCTAAGGGCTCATGAGGCTGCTGCGAGGAGAGTGGAGGAATTGCACAGGAACCAGTGCTGCTGCTGGAT